AGAGCTTACAGGAAGAGGAATTAAAAGAAAAACAAAGGAGCAACCACCTTTCTTTGAGCTTCATGCCGAAGGAATTAAAAAAGGAGAAGCTTCATGCAATAAACTGGAATCCGTGGTCTGTTTGATTCCAGCCATGCATATTTAACCTCCCTAATTCAACCCATTAAGGAAAAACCGTAAATCCCATTAAGGTAAAACCTTAATCCCCATTAAGGTAATGTTTTCTATGATGGGAAATCTGAGGAGGCGAGAAGAGCATATTGAAAGCACCAAAAGCGGCAAGCAATTAACACAGAAACAAATATAATGAACTAAATACAAATTCAAATATATTTCTAAGATGCGAAACTGTCCAAAAAAAGGTGTAGTGGACCGGGCTCTACATAACCCAACAATAAAGCACACAAAAAATCAATAAAACTTTGCTGAAGTTCATTCCTTAATGTTGGCAATTCCCCCAAACAATATAAATAAAAGCAATCAGACCTATCTTAAACATAAATAGATGAGGTATTTGAGGGGTTTTTTTTTTTAATTTTATTTTGATGTTGGAAAGAGGGTGATGGGGTATTTTAGTTTGTGGACTTGGCCTTCTCCCTCATGCTGTGGGAGGTAATTAAAAAACAAAGATGAAATATATATATATATATAATATATATATATATATATAGAGCGAAATATAGTATACAGTTAAGCATATGATATGTGGATAGAGAGCTACTGCAGGCATTATTATTAAGACAGATTTACATGCATATCACACATTTTTTATGTATTTACATAGATAACAACAACAATTTTATATTTATATTATAGCACCACAGTGTCATAAACACAAAATATGTTCATAAATGGCTATATTTCACCTTTAAAAAATTAATATTAGTGATATTTTTTTATGTGATATCAATGATTTGAATGATAAACAAGTAGATGCAAAAATTTTGATCTTAGATATGTAAATACATAAGAATTATTTGGTGTGTATGTAAATCCCTGAAATGGGGTTCCTCCTTCCTCTTTTGTCCTCTCCTTCTACCATTCTTTCATTTTTCTTTCCTTTCCTTCTTTTTTTACTTTCCTTTCTAGAACTTGTCTAATTTAAAATATTTCATAAAACTGAAATGTGATTATTATTCTCCTTAATTTAAAACCTATGCTAAAACTGAAATTTAATTTTTATTCTCCTTCCTAATTTAAATTCTTTCCTCAAATCTGAAACCTAAATTTATTTTTCTTCTTATTTTAGTGTTTCCCAAGTCTCTTTATAAACATAAGAGGTGTTGCTTTGAGTTAGGGTTGTTTTATGAAATCTGAATTCAGTTTGTCTGAGTATTTTTTTCCACTTGAGGGTTGTATCCAACGTCAAGGTAGTACTCCGGTTGTCCCTTATCCAAGGTGTTGATCGTCGCCACGAGTACGGGTGGTGCTTCGGCCGCATCTCAACCCCGCCGAAATATTTTATCTCGTCGTACTTCCTCACCTCTATTGTCGCTCCATCTTACAACCCCCTGCAGGTCCTCCCCTATAGCTGTTGATCCATCTCCTAGCCTACGCAGCCTCTCCACTGCAGCTGCCAACCACCTCCCAGCTCTCCTACAACAGCCACAGCCTTCCCCTACAGCTATTGTTCCATCTTACAACCCCCGAAGCTCCTCCCCTATAAATGTCGTTCCATCTCCCAGCCCCTGCAGTTGCTCCCCTACAGTTGTCAGCCACCTCACAGCTCTCTTATAGCCCCGCAACTCCTCCCCTAAAGCTGCCAGCCACCTCCCAGCTCTCCTACAGCAACCACAACCCTCGCCTACAGCTGCTAGCCACCTCACAGCCCTCTTCCTGCAACTGCAAACCCCTCCCCTACTATTGTCAACCCTGTTACTTCCCTCGAGACTCCTTCCAGTCACCGTCTCCCTCGCCATCAATCCTCCAACAACCCATCTGACTCTTCCCAGCACCCGTCCGACTCTCCCAGCAACACCTGTCGCCAGCTAGTCGGTCACCAACCCTACTGCTTTCCTAAAAAACTCTTCCAGTCGTTGTTCCTCGCGGAACACTATCTGGCCGCGGGGCTGTCTTTATTTGTTTTTGTTGTCGTGTTGTTTGTCGTTTATTTCCTAATTTTCTAATGTCATGTTTGTAATCCTTTCAAAATTCAACAATCATAATGTACCTGTCTTTTAAGTTATTAATAAAATTTGTGTGTTGCGTTAAACTCCGATATCAATTGGTATCAGAGCTAGCTCAACCCTAGTCCTATCCTAGAATTTCCTAGCGTCGGTCTTACACCCCACAGAAAAAATTTCGTTTCTACCCTGAACCGTCCATTCCAAACCAATCCATAAATTCTCTTTGCTGATTTTCAAAATCAACAATCCCAAATCAAATTTTATGCAACTTCATTTAGTCTCATGAACCATCTTTTCACCTAACAACCCTAAACCTTAGCCATTCCACTAAAAAAATATATGCCTGAGCCTACCCGAGATAAGATATGATGAGAGCTCCATCATCTTCAGCGGAGACTTCAGGATATTGAAGAGAAAATCCAGCGGGTGGTCACCCTCAATCGTGATTTGGAAGGTCAAAGGAAAGGACAAGAAGATGTGAAGATGAGGCGGGAAACACAACATCAATTCCTATCAACTTACTACTACCAAAAATTACGGCTCCTAGATTACAAAATGGAGAGACTGCAATACCAAGCGACCCCACCTGCCTACTATCCAACGAAACCAATCCGCAAGCCTATCACAGCCAGAAAATATTACAAGCATCATGGATTTGGGCATGTGGAATCAGAATGCACAACCAAGGGCGAGATCTATTTCACTAAGCATGGTGTTGTTGACAAATTGGGCAATGACACAGTTGATATAGGAAAAGTCGAAAACTTTCGGGAGGATTCTCCACTTGAAGCTAGTGAGGAAGAGACGTCATCAATTTCAATGGATCCTGAAATATAGATTCCAACTGAGGTAACAGTAGTCATTTTGAAAAGTAGTGACCTCGATGTAATGAGCATTCAAGTATAGCATGAAATTGTGGTACCTACAAATACTGTTTCACAGGCGTTGAGAGGAGCTACAGTAGGATTGACCTTGGCGTTCAAGAGAATCGGGAGCTCGAGGAGCCGACATCAATACAAGACCACCAAAGATATAAGAAATACAATTTTTTCAGATGGTTAAACCTCTTACTGAGTTATCTCTACGGGGAGAGGTCCAACATATCCGAAGAGGAGTCATTTTGTGTCATATCAAAAATATTCGGGGGATTATTCAAAAGTTATTATCAGTCCCTCATGGTACCCATTGCTAAATGTCCTGACAAAAGAAGTGAATCCCAACTTTGTAATGGGCCCGAAGAGCATGATGAGGACGAAAATTCTGCAATGGGATCCAGGTCCTATTTATGGAGAGATCTTTCCTGAGGGGGTGCCAGTGAGAGCGGTGCAGCTTGCAACAGATTTCATCCCAGAATTGAGTTCTCCTCACATGCTTATCACTCAACCACCGCACGCTAGGCACGAGAAATGGAAGGAGAATATTTCAAATGCAAGGGCTCGAGAGTTGCATTACGGGAACCTCCCTCTAGATGCAGCTCTCGTTCAGGATGTATCAAAAGATGATGCATGCTTATTCTACCAGAATGTGTTGTAGAATGACTACATCGACATGATCGACCCACCAAAGGACTTACCACCGTATCATGAGGATTCAGAAGCTTCGAAGAATGAGGTCGAAGCACTCCCAACCCCAGCAGAATGACACGAGGGTTTTCCTCCTTCCTCTTCCCTCCTTTCCTTTAATCCTTCTTTCCTTTTTCTTTCATTTCCTTCTTTTCTTACTTTCCATTCCAAGCCTTTTCTAATTTAAAACATTTCATAAAACTAAAATATTATTCTTATTCTCCTTCCTAATTTAAAACATTTCATAAAACTGAAATATGATTTTTATTTTCCTTCCCAATTTAAATCATTTCCTCAAATCTAAAATCTGAATTTATTCTCCTTCTTAATTTAGTGTTTCTGAATAAAGGTTATTTCTCTTTATAAATAAGAGAGATTGTACTTTAAGTTTTTATGAAAAATGAATTCAGTTTTGTCTAAGTGTTTTTCCCACTTGAAGGTTGTATCCGACATCAAGGTAGTGCTCCGGCTGTCTCTTGTTCAAAGTGGTAATCGCCACCATGGGTCCGAGTGGAGCTCTAGTTGTATCTCGACGCCGCCGTGATATTTATCTTGACATACCTCCTCTCCTCTGTTGTTGTTCCATCTTACAACCCCCACAACTCCTCCCCTACATTTGTCGATCAATCTCCCAGTCCCCACACAGCCTCTCCCCTACAGCTGCCAGGCACCACCCATCTCTCCTACAACAACTACAGTAGTTCTCTATAGCTATCGTTCCATCTTACATCCCCCGCAGCTCCTCGCCTACAGCTGTCGTTCCATCTCCTAGCCCCTACAATCTCCCCCCTACAGCTGTCAGCCACCTTGCAGCTCTCTTACAACCCCACAGATCCTCCCCTACAGCTGCCAGCCACCTCCCAGCTCTCCTACAACAACCGCAATCCCAGCTTACAGATACTAGCCACAACCAAGCCCTCTTCCTGCAATCGCAAACCCCTCCCCTATTGTTGTTAGCCCTGCTACTTCCCTCGCGACTCCCAGTCACTATCTCCCTCGACAACCACCCTCCAACAGCCCATCCGACTCTTCCTAGCACCCGTTTGGCTCTCCCAACAGCCGCCTACCACCAGATAGCAAGCCACCAACCCTACTACCACCATCCAGCCGCAAAGCTATCTTAATTTGTTTGTGTTGTCGTGTTGTTTGTCATTTATTTCCTGTTTTTCTAGTGTCATATTTATAATCCTTTCAGAATTCAGCAATCATATTGTACCCCGTCTTTTAAGTTATTAATAAAATTCATGTCTTGTGAAGTGGTTTGGGTTAAACTCCGGTATCAATCCCACCATTAATAAACAAGATACTGGCATTTTGAGCTAAAAAAAACCATGCTTTTCAAATCTATCAATAAAAACTACAGAAGAAAAAAATATATGTACTTTAAATTCAGACTGCGCTTCTGTCTATCAGCTTAGAAAATAATTAAGAGTTGTTCCATATTTTAAATCTTACGAGCTACTTTAAATTTGATAAGGTAGGTTGAGCATACTTTTCCATCAATTTCGTAAGTTCAGCATCAAAGTTCTTCTCTAACTCGATCTCCTCTGTCAGATGCTTTCGCTTCAGTTCAGTCTTCTTTTCTTCATAAGCCCGCATCAGTTTTATCCTCTCAGCTTCAAACTCCTCAATTTCTTTCAACTGGCTAGAAATGAACTTTTTAATCTCTTCATTCCTGCATTAATCAAGAGGATTTTACAGCAAATTAACTGGTAACAAGATAATAAACAATTCTTAACTTTCATGATTAAAAATGATTTAGTATAAATAATTCTTAACTTTTTTTTTTCCTGTAATATTATATTTATGACTTATTATCAATCAAATAACATTCAATTCCAACTCAAAATTTTTGAGCTTATTCTACAATTTATAAGAATTAATAAAATACAAGATGATAGTTAAAAGTGGTGCCGTAATGGATGCACTAAATAAAAACATAAATATCTCGTTACACAAAACAAAAAGATTTCAGATACCATATCTGGACCAATTCTAATGCTTTAGTTTGGGAAAAAAAAAGAAAAATAATTAGTAATAGTACCTTTAGTAAAGGGTTCTACAAGCTGTCTACTTTCAGCAAATGTCATCAATGGTTAAATTCATATAAAGGCAATCAAATTAGAACATAAATTCTAAGGTCATGGAATATAAACGAATTTGATCACAAATTTTGGGGAAAATAACACGTTAATAGCATTAAGACATAAATTTTAAAGCATAAATTTATAGAAAACAAATGATAAAATTACATATAGAGCATTTAATAAGATTACCAAAAAAATACATAGGGTAAAATAAAGATATAACTCAAAGCTAAGAGAAAAATAGAATAACGACAATTTTTTTCTCATTGCATCACAAAAATGAATATAGGAGATGAAAACTCCCATCCACTAATACGTCGTCCCTAAGAATGCTCCCATTTGATTCAGAAAGTACAATGAACTATGATCTTCCTTATGTTTACCAATAGAAGAGAAAAATAGGAGAATAAAAATATCTACACTAATTGTCAGATATGTAGTTGTTCAAGTCGAAGGAATAGGAGGGCCAGGCAAACGAGAAGCAGCTTCCAAAAGATTAATTGGTCCTAACAATTGTGAACAAATCTCCACAATTGAAGCTACAGTAATTGATGGAGATGGGGTAGAATGAGCATTTGAATGAAGTTTACGAATCAGATAATTGATTTTCCGGATAGGCCTTGAAACAATCAGAGTGAATGCGGCCATGGATCGTATATAAAAAGTAATATTGGGGCATGCCTTTAAATTAGACCTTCTGTCAGTGGCTTCTACTAATAACCACAAATTGAAATACTAATTGGGACTTCCTCATGAAAATAAGAGAAAATCCATTTCCGCCAAAATTCTGGCCACAAGGGACAGAAGAACGAGCAATAGTTGCGTCAATTTGCCAGGATTTGCCAAAAATAGATCCCATTGAATATAAAGTTGGTTTATTTAAGCAATGCAAACGCAACCTATCAAAAGCAGCATATACAAGGACGATGGGTGATTTATCAGAGGCAACAAAAAGTGGAGACCACTTCAATGTTTCCATAAAAAGTATGGAGTAGCATGTAAGACAGAAAAAATAGCCTAAGTGTAATCTTACTCTAAAATAAGATTGTAATATGATAAGGATAAAAAAGATCAATTAAATTTCACCAATCAATCATAAATCAAACATGAATTTGAAAATGATATCCACATTATAAAGACCCACTAAGAGTTTTTCAAACAATAATGAAAACGAATGGTGTTGAACCCAAGAGTTTCCAGGAATCACACCCAAAGAATAGAGCTCGAGAAATAAAGTTTCAAAATAGCAATCCTTGCTCATCGCCCCCATACTCGTTTTTTCGACCCTGCGGCCTGAACCATGTGGAGGTAGTCCAAAAGTCTCTCGGTCAAACTTATTTATAACTACCTCTAAAGCATCTAACTCGCCTGCATCATTCACTTCATGATTGACTGTCCTCCGCTTGACTCGTTCGGCGGATATCACTCGTTCGGATATCCTGTTTGTCGGTGAGCAAATCAAGCGAATGACTAGGCAAAGCTCCAGGACGTTTTCCTACCTCTGTATCTATCTCTACCTAGAATAATTGGATTGTTTTATAGGCTACTCTTTGAATATTTTAACCGAGGGGGCCCACGCCATTTGTTGCATGCTCATGGTCTGTCTTGGGATTCGTGCTGACATGATCCTGTTACACATCTAGTTCCACAACTTTATTATTTTTTGAAAGCGATAACTATGATAAAAACAAGAAAGTTTAAATGTTGCATTAAATGCTACATTAATTCTTGAAATCAACATTTAATAAAAAAGCTTCTTGGATTTTTGTGCACTGCCCTTCTATAAATAGGTTGTCCCCAGCAGCTTTTGTGTTTGCATTTCTTCCTTGCTCATTGTTTTGGTCATTCTTTGTAAAAGGCGTTCTGATGGCGTGGGGTAAGAAGAGAAATCCCGGTGAACCATTGGATGATATTTTGATGAAGGCCTTTGGATTGCCGATCTAAAAAATCAGTCCTTTGAAAATCCCGGTGAACCATCTGGAGGGTGGTTTGATTGGCGAGTGAGGAAGACACCCTGAGGGGGGCGAACCTACTAAGAAGAGAAAAGTGAAGTAGTTAGCCTTCAAAAAGTGGTCAAAACTGAAATACGATAGTGATGAAGGGGGACGATTCGTCCGATGATGTTCCTTTGTCGCGTCGGAAGCCATACAAAGGACTCGGTCAAAGCCATACAAAGGGCACTGGTAGGCTTCGGCAAACAAGTGGAAAAAGGTACCTGACGAGCTCCTAAAGGCACACCGTGCAAGGACAAGGACACGACCAGCCCCTCTCAGATTGTGGAGATGAGAGCTGAGGGTGTTCCACCCATGCCCGATGAGAGTTTCTCGTCCCTGGTCTAGTTCGAGGTGAATCGAATCCTTGGTAGGAGTTTGACTGTCAATTCATCTGCCTAAAATGGTTGTTTTTTTCCTTACTATGACTTCTCTTTCCTTGTGTAGTCGTTTTGACTCCCGTTTCTAACTCACTGGAGGTTGTCAAGAGTCGGGAGTCGGTTCTCTGGAAGGCAACGGGAACCTTTCGACGATCTTCAAAAGGGAGTCGACTGACCACGTGGTTCGCTGCATTGACGAAACCACAAACTTCTTTGCCTGCAGCCCGAAGCTCGAAGGGAAGTCGAGGCCCAACAGGAGGCCAATATACACGCAGCTGAGCGAGGAGCTCTCTCTACCTTGGAGTCTGGTCTGAGTCGTCTGTTCAGTACTGGCCAGGGAGAACAGGGGAAACAATTCCTTGTCTATTACACCAGTCATGTCCTAAGAAACGTCAAAGTCAGGTACCCTATCTTAGAAAAACTAACTTTTGCTCTCATCACTTCAATAAAAAAGTAAAAGAGAAGACATTCGTACCAAGAGACCTCATCCTCAAAAAAACCAATCCAACAACACGGGGATAAGCTATTGGCAAGCTTGAACAAACATGGATCGGACCGTTCACCGTCTCGAAAAGGGTCTCCCAAGGAGCATATTGACTCAAAATCTACATGGGCGATGACATAACTAGGACCTGGAGCAGACGACCAGAAACAGTTTTTTCCTAGAAACTGAAAAATCTCATGTATTGAATTTGAATTGACATAATAAAAAAGAGAGAAATGTTTGACACTTTCATACTCTAAAACTACGAACCGCACATATAAATTCATTCACAGAATTCGAAAATCCTCATATCCCCTAAGTCAGTTTGAGTGACTGGAAAATTCAAAACCTAAAAACTCCCCTCAGAGGCGAGCAACTTGAAGACTCCCCTCTGGGGAGAGCAACCTGAAGCCTCCCCTACGGCGAGCAACCTGAAAACTCCCCTCCGGGGCGAGCAACCTAAGAACTTGTCTCCACCCACAAGCGATCAAAATTAAGGAAAGAAAAATGCTTAATTTTATCACCACAGAAAAATGAATGATAGAGGAAGACACAAGACATAAGTAAGGCAAATATGAAAGGAAAACGAGGAAAAAATTATTTCTATCGGTTACCATTACAAGTGTTCTCTTAATCTTCATTACAAGTTTTTACATTTTAAAACGGGTGGGGTGTGGAAGATTTCAAGAATGAGAAGTCGAGGAACCACGTTCCTCGACCGAACCCGTGCGATCCCTGGATGGCTTCTTGTTTGAGGGAAAAGGGGTCGACAATAACTTGACAAATCCGCTCAAGTCCACGTATTTTGGGTCGACATTGCCAATCAAACAAATTGGCCCTAAACTAGTTCGATCGTTCTTCTGGATGCAGTTCGGCTAGGACTGACAAGGCGGCCTTCACAAATAAGGTGTCGTTTTCTTCCAGCACGATCGAAAGCCATTCTGAGGCTTCCACCAAGTTCTCCTCCTCCTCTGCAGAAGAACCTCAGCATCGTCTGCCCGCTGTAAGGCCTTTTTCAAGCGCTCTTTTAGAACTTTTGCCTTCTTACTCGCCCACACCACTTCTGTCAATGTCAAGATACATATTGAATAAATAGTGGGACAAAGCCATCCCTAATAGCTGGTGCTTGTCAAACAAATGGCATAGCTCCAGGGCTAAGGTTGTCTAACTTATCCTTGAAACTCCCGAACCATAGGATGCCCACAAGCTCTGAGGCATGGGATTCCACTCTTGGGCCACTATGGAACCAATCTCACTGCAGGTCAATGAGGGCGAACCGAAAATCCCTGGAGACGAAAACTTTTGGCCCCTCCTCCTGCATTGGGATCCACATCGCTACCCTCGGGAAGGGAAACAAAGGGCAAGCCCTCGCTATCCATGGGTTCCCTTCCCTTTCCTTCACCAAAATCCATCGAAAACCGAGGAACTACCTTCTACCTCGGCGCGAGGAGTTGTGCCGCCTCTGAAAACAATGTGGATTGAGGTTGCGCCTTGGATTGGTCTCAGACCTGAAGCCTGCTTTGTCCCGACGCGTGCGCTTTGGCTACGACCTTGCTCCTCTCACAATGCAAGGTCATGAGAGAATTGACCGACTTTTTCCCTCTCAACGAGGTTAATAAAACCTAGTGGGTCAAGAGAGAACCAACTGGTTTTTTCCCTCTCAATGAGGCTAATGAAGCCAAGCGTCTGATCAGGGGTCTGGTTCAACCCCAGTCGAATTGTTGTCTAAAATA